GCACGCATTATTAAAGTATCACGTTCGGTCTGAATTTCTAGCAACTTTTTATCAGTTAGAAATCTGCAACAGTATTGCAAATTTTCATCAGTGCTGCAGTATTGCTGCTTTCATTACGTGCCTCGAACAGGCCCTTAGTTTTAACTAAAATGCAAGTGTGGGGCTTTCCCATACCCTGAGTATTAAATATGACATATTTCGGGGTCTGCAAGCCACAGATACTTGGCTCTTGAACCAGTGTAATATCTACTTCGCCTGAGGACAGATTCCCCTATCTACCACCGACCCGTCAGCTTCGCCTCACTGAGAAGCTCACACTCAGTATAAAGCCCCTATAAGGCCTCTTTCCGAGCTAGACGAAGCGAACGCGCCCAGCTCTTCAATCGCTGTACATTCATCCACTTCCATTTCGATGTCGCGCAGGCTGCTAAGTTCACAGGGCTTCGGTGTCTGTTTGAGACTTTTAGGGTAATTTTCCCAAATACATAGTTCGCCTTGAAGTTGGTTATTTTTCGTTATTGATGAGCATGACTATCCTCCAGTTGTGTTCCGATAGAGTCACAGGAACCCAGGCTCTCGCTCAAGGCACGACGGGATGTCTAGTTCTTCTATAACCTTTAGGTGGGCCACCGAATACATCTCGCATATTTTGTCGGTCGCAGCTTTGAATACCTCCACCGATTTGCTCTGATCACAATCAATTAGCTTACTTTCCCGGGAAACATCCAACATCCGTGCACGATGGTGTCGGTCTAGGGTTTCTTTCTTCACCTGCAGCGCCACTTTTCTAAGGCGGCATGTACCCATCTCCTGGGGCATCCAGCCGTCTTCATTGCTTTCATCGATTACGCCATTTTACCTTCCGGACCCTAGCTATTTCAGTAATTAGCATGGCCCTTTTCGGTGTCTGCGCCTGGACTTCGTCAACAGATCTCTTCCATTTGTAATCCCTATATCGCCATTCTGCTTAAGGGCGTTAAGGGGGCCTGACTGGGCTGGTAAAAGGCCCAGCCAGGCTGATAGTCGGCACCTTGCTCCGGCTTGAAGAAAATAAAGGGGAGGAAGCTGGCAGGGGTTTAGGTCATTTCATTTTCATTGGCACTATTTTAGCTGAGTTTAAAAGTTTTGTAGGTTCTTCTTGGCCGTTAACAAGAAAAGGGAGTGTCTACTTTTACGCGTCACGGTAACTTTTACCGCGGATCCACGGTAAAAATTACGCCGAAAGAAGTTCTGCCCACTTCTCTGGGAACACAGAAAGGATAATTCTTAGTAAGGATTATAATCCCTAAGCGCGGCCGAAGGCCGCCTACGCAAGAAGAAGTTCTGCCCCACTTCTTCGGCAACAAATAATCTACGTAATTTTACCGTAGATCTACGGTAATTTTTACCGTGGATCTACGGTAAAAGTTACCGTGGTGCGTGTGTGTAGACACTGCCATAAGAAAAACGCTGACAGCCGCGTCTATGCAACCGAACCCAACCAGATATACATATATCTGCCAAAGGGCTGTCGCTGTAGGAACAGTCTCCAAATATTTTTGGGGAACTTTGGAATCGAGTCTGGATGAGTACAATGTCCAGACCATAACTGGACTAGAGTTATGCGGGTCTCGCTCGGCAGTTGAGGCTCCTCGCTTGCTATTGTGGTGATTGGCAAGTCGCTGAAGGTGGTGACGGACTCTGTGAATGCAGTTAGTGGCTTTTCGGGAGCCGTCGGGTACAATGGTCATTGTACATTGTAAGTGTTTGGATCGCTTCCGTATACTCGAGAATATGACTTCTGACGTACCTGGGGGAGGCTCTGCCTCAACCTAACTACATAGGAGCATAGATACATAACAATGCAGTGGTGTTAAGGCGACGTTGATCACTAATTGAAGCGTGACCTCCGTCGTTGTTGGTTTCGTTGTCAGGCTCCGTGCGGCGAAGAAGCGAGAAAGTTTGGAGAGAAAAGAATCGACGACTAAAATAGATGATTATGGGTAGATTGTCCGATGCAAGGGATTTCATAGGTCGCCACGTTATGCTATTTACTAGATCCCCGCTACCTATTGTTCAATCTGGCGAGCTGCTGCATCCACCCAAAATCCTGGTTGGCCGCAGCTATCAGTATTGCATGTCGACAACGATTATCCCTTCGACGTTGCTCTGGAATTGGTTGAACTTCAATTGTACAAGTTTTGCGTGCTTTGAGAAGCTGATCGCTATGCGGGGGTGACATGTAAGTGGGGCGGTCTGTTGTTGTTATTGTAGCAGCTACAAGAAACTCGCCCAGATCGGCTGGTATCTCAGTCGTTGTCGTCAAGCTCAACTAACGGAAGACCCAGGAAGCGTGTATCTTCTATAGGGTATGTCCACAGGGACAGAGGAGTTAGTTGTGTGGGGTTTCCCGGGCATATGATGAGACATTACGAGTCGTGTATGCGGACACTAATTTGGCATATCTGCATTTTATCTGTTCAGGCATGAGTTCAACCTGCTGCAGTAGCCAGAGCGAGGTTAGGCTATTGTGTTCCGAGTCTCCCGAGGTAGACGAAGCTCCGTCTCGTATACGTCCGGTGGTTATGTGCTCAGAACGGCATTCACAGGACTGGAGTCTGCACAGCTCAGAGCCTGTCAATATGCTCACGGATGCAGAGGTTGCTTTTAAAACCTCTGGACTTCGTCCGTTAGTTCATAAAGATGCCTTCTGACATGCCTTGGCGAAGCCTCTGTGTCCACCTCTGTAGCTCCCTACTAAGAATTGCTTACAGAGCATTGTGTTCTGCTCCTTTATGGGGAACATTTTCGCATAAAGGTGGTGTTCTGGCGACATCAGAAGACATTCGGTCGCTGTCCGAAGTGCTGCGTTCTGTGCTATCTGCAGCTTCATCCACTGCGTCCTATTGGTCTCCGGCGACCACCCGTGCTGCATAATTTAGTATCAGCCGGCCAATTGCCTTGTATGTTGCTAACAAAGTTTCTTTGTCTTTGCTCCAGGTACTGCCGGCTAGCGACTTGAAGACCTTGTTGCGTCTCTGTACTTTGTTGACAATTGCGGATGTTTGCGCAGAGAAGACTGGCGAAAGTTACTCCGAGGATTTTTGAGTTATTCACCGTCGGAATTGGGGTGTCATCAACGTGAATAATCCGTGGTAGTCTGACCTCCTTCGTGCAAGTGCTAAACAAGGTCGCAGAGGATTCTGTAGGGGAGAGGGTTAGACCCCTAGCAGTGAAGAAGGGAGAAAGCTCGGAGAGGTACCCGTTTACTTTCGAGCACCAGTCATTAATTCCATTCCCAGACGCCATTATCGAACAATCATCAGCGTAAGACACAATCGAGACTTCCTCTGGTTTGAGCAGTGGGACCACTCTTTCCATCTACCAGATGTCTGGAATGACGAGAGTGGCCATTGATAGGTTGAGAACCTTGGCTAAAGTCGACTCCCGCAGGACCCAAATTTTTCAGCATCAACATGCATATTCCGTCGGCTCCCATGGCTTTGGAGACTTTCGTCTTCCCGATATCTACCTGAACTTCACCGCAAGTGAAAACAAGAGGCGCACTAGTTGTTGGCAGTTTGTGCAGCCTTCTGGTCACTCGACGCTTGGCTTTGTCCACCCGAGGATGCAGTATGAATTGCCGGTTAAATAGCTCGCCCATCGCTACGGGTCCGACGAAGCACGGTCGCCGAAAGTGATTTCGACTCTATCGTCGCGCTTTGTCCGATAGAACAGTGACTTCACGGCTGACCAAAGTTTACTCACGCCCCCTTCACCTCCTAGCTTGGGATATAAGTAGCTTTGAATTTTACATTAGAAAAAGCTAATAAATTTTGACTCTCGATAGTGTTTTCATAAATTAAAAGTTATTTGTCTTTGAAGTTTAAAAAGCAAAATTTTAAGTGTGCAAAAGTTCAAAACATTTGAAAAAAAACAACATAACTGAAGAAACCCATAGTGAAAATAGCGATAGGCAAAGCGACTATAGGATAAATTGTTCAGTTTATGGAAAGCGATTTCCATTCTCCAGAGCAAACGCTTGAGCAGCAGCAGCAGATTGAATCCACTGAAGAGAAATCTTTAACTAGCATTGCTAGCGATCATTGTACACCGCAGAATAGTGAACAGCGTTTGATTCCTTTGACACAAGAAATTGTTAAGGCAATGATGGAATTTGACGGCTCCCAATCGAGTACGAGTCTTTCCGAAAAAAACTTTTATAACACTTTTTCCATAACAAGTTTGGTACGCGAAGAGGTGCAAAACATTTTGCAGGAACTATGTGTCACTGATCAGTTTATACGCAAGGAGGAAATTGATGCGCTGATCGAGCGCTGTCTGCGCGAAAAAGTGACAATCGACTGCAAGAGTACAACGACTAGTGCTGAATCTCTGCCGCCTGATAGTCAAGAGATCGAAGTAACGGTCGAAATGCTTAACGAGACAGATAAGAACAAATTAATCGTTGAGAATTTTCAAATATTGGAGCAACGCATCACAAACTTGGAGGAACGCATTTCAACTGTGCTGCAGACTGTCCGAAATTGCGCCATTTGCAAGCGAAAAAATTCAAAATCAACACGGAGATTATACGCGAAGAACTGCGAAATGTTGTGCAAAGAATGGTCGTAGATGAAGCCACAAAAGTCTTACCCACTTCTGAACTGAGATCGGCAATTGATGGTGATGTAAATGGAATAGCAACAAAAGCAACAATAAGCATCACTGGTACAGAAAAAGAGAGCACAGAAAATAAGATAAACCCATATGAGATTTATACTACGCACAACGCCAAAATGCAATGAATATATTGAATTACAAAAAATCGAAAGCCACCATGGAGCTTAACCAGCGACCACACTGACTCCACACATTAAGCCAATCGTCGTGAATTAGGCGAGATAGGATACAAGCCCAAACAAAAACCTACATTCATTGCCGAATAGGTGGTTTAAAGTTAATTATGGAAACATTTTAATCAAAATTTCATTGATATTAAGAAGAAATTTTAATTTATGCTCGAGTTGTAGTGTGGACTCGAAATATAAAAAGTCCAAACCTTCCAAAATTGTAATAAAATGCAAGTTTGTATGTTTGTGTGTATATATGTTATAAACTATGGGATGTGTGTGTTCGAATATGAATGTGGAATACTTAACAACTACATTGTAATATCTTTTAGCACAGTATCGCTTATATTGAATAAATCATCATCATCGCTTATTATCTGTATAGGTATCGAACATTTGGTCGTTTGTGCGCACACCTGAGTATTGACAAAATTTCGGTTATTTTCGCAATTTAACTCCGGGTTTCCTTCGTCCTCGGTCAGTAATACGCATCTGGTGGACAATTCCACTAGTTGTACAGCGGTTACACGTTCATCGGATTTCTATAAGTAGATATATTAAAAGCATTTTATATGCCTCAAAATATGGATGGTTTACATAAAAACTGTCATGAAATTTTATGCCAATAATTAATAGTTTTTGTGCTGATTTTCGTTGGAACGTAAACGCCATAAAAGAGATCTTAATGCCCTTATATTGGCGATTTTCCCATAACAAATTTATACAGTGACTCAAACAAATGACGTGTTATTTTTTTTTTAAATATTCGCTATGTTTTTCGAGCTGATTTTTTTTTTTTGCTATTTTTCTATAAAAATATCGTCCAAGCTTTAATCAAAACATTAAATAACAGTGTCTTTACAGAACTTGTAAAAATTCAACAAACTTTTATCAAATTTCAACGTTTAAATCTGAATCTTTAGAAAATTTTTGGGTATAGCCCATAATAAGTGGAAGTTTAACCAGCTGAAAAAAACGCGTGATGCAATTTCAAAAAAATGGCGTTGATTATTTGAAAATTTGAAAAATGTAAAGGTTTAGATTAAAAAGTTGAAATTTTGAAGAAAATTTTGTTGAATTAAATTTTATATAAAGTTTGAAATTGTGATTTATATGGTTTGGGTTAAAGCTTGGACGTAATTTTTATAGAAAAATTGCAAAAAAAAAGTTTGCTCGAAAAACATTAGATACGAATATTTAAAAAAAAGTCAACACGTGTTTGAGTCATGTATGTAAATAAACATACTAACCCAACCAACTCAACCTTACTAATGCCGGATAGTAATTTGTTAGAAAAAGTAATGCAAAATTTGTTGAACTATTAGCATTTTGGGTGCCATATTTTAAAACAGGGTTTCGTTTAAATGCTTAATTTAAATAATGAAAATGTATAAACATTTATATTAAGCTTGGTTAAAAATTTTGTGCGTCATTAAGGGACAAATTCACAGTGCGTAGTTAACTCAGAAGTGCAGTTAACTACAGATTTTCAGTGAATGATTTAATACATGTCTGTGTCGTTTTATCATAACATCTTAAGTCTAAAAATCGTGTTTGGAGATATAACGATTTTGTGTAAAATCTATTACGTTGGAGTTTTAGAAAATATTTTTAGCCAAGATGTAGTTTCGCTTATTTTAAGACAAAGCAGACTGATTTTGAGAAATATTTCCTTTAGAAGTATATTTTTTTCGTTGTTTTGTATTTAAGATGTTTTGTGAAACGAGATTACAAAAAAAAGATGCCTTAATTAGACTTAAGATTTTGTCACGAAAGAGATACAAGAGTTCTAAAATTTATAATGGACAAAGAGCTTCTGTAAAATTGAAACAAGTAAGTAAATGGATATACGATTTTTGTTTTATTTCTTTCTTTAACAAAAACTCGTAAACTAAAAATATACATTTTCAGTTCTTATTTCTTTATTTAAAATAATAATAATTTCATAGTATTTAATAAGTAAAAAAAAAATATTCAAGTTTTTCAATTAAGTTTGGGAATACTTTGTTGCAAAATAAATAATTATTCGTTATTTTCATCGTATTCGGTTAAATCTGGATGACAATCTAACATATCTTCTGATGTTAAATTCATATAGAAGTCTATAAATTTAATCCACTAGCGGCAACATGTTTATGAAATCACTTTTCTTTTTAGTGTTAATTTTTATTGGTGAGACGGAGCAATTTTTTAAATCCTTTATTTTGACGCAATTGATTCCTCGCTTAGTTATATTGATGCATTTGAAAGGATCTTCTTCACTTAAAGATGTTTTAAAATATATGTTACCATATTCCTTGGTAATCTGAACCATTTAATGTCATGCCAATTGAATTTATCACCGTTGTCATCTACTTTTCGCCAAGTAAATACATTTTTTGATGCGTGTGCAAAATCTAATATATTCGATTGATCCATTTCAGTAACGAAAATTTTTTTCTTTACTCCGACTGTTCTTACGAATTGGTACCAATCAAGGGGATGATGGATTTTTATTGAAGATTTCGTTTTCTTTTTCTCTATCGCAGCATGGTCACTATCGCATTCCATGTGCGTGTGACCAGGGACCATGAATTTATGATCTATAATGGTTACATTGTTTTCTAATTGCATGAAAACAGCAAACATAGTTGCAATGAAGGAATTTTTATTTTGACCTGGGCAGCAATCACTGTAGAAAACAACATGATTTGCATTTGCATTTATTTGCAATAAATGAGTGAATACGCATGAAGCTATTTCGTTTCCACCTCTTTTGGCTATTGCTTCATGCCACATGTAGCATATTGGTTGATTTGTTGCAATGTCATGCATCGTAAGATTAAAGGTCCATAATGGCCTTTTATAGAATGACAGTGAAGTTCTCAACAGAGGTGTAGGAAGGCACTGCTGAAGATCAAAACAAAACACTTTTAGTGTAGTATCATTTAAAGATTTTCCCTTATCATTTTTTTTGGAATCATAAGCTTGTTGCGCTAGATCGAGATGTTTGGTTTGCTCTAATTTTAGAGATTCAAGTTCTTCAGATTTGGCAACTTGTATTTTACATTGAAGCAAATCACATTTGTGGCAGGTGTCAACTTTAGGTTTTTTAAATTTTAAATTAAGTGTTCCAAACAGTTGAGCAAATTTTGAAAGCGATACGGAATGGTCGTATTTATCTCCATAGAGGCGATGAATTTCAGCTACAGACAAATCCCTCGGCAGATAACGGTAGATAAGATAGATAGTGCGACTCATATGACGGAAAGCTTTTTATGAAATTTAAAATTTCTTTTTCTTTTGCCATAGAAAGTTTTCTAGAGCACGTATGCTTTCCGCGCAAATCTCCACTGACACTACATCCTTCAAGTTTTGCTTTCGCAACCGTTTTTATGAGTTGTTCTGCCTCAGATAACGTAAATCTAAAGCATTTTTGGCAAACCGAAATTCTATTACCACCAACCTCTAAAAAATAATAGTATGTATGCACTCTGCTTCGAGGATTTCTTTCATGCTTAACTCTTTTAATAGTGTTCGTTTCTTGAATTTCAATCAAGCCAGTAACATACGCCTTACGTAAGTTATAGGAGCCTTGCCCCCAATACTGCTTGTGTATTAATTGCTGTTCCTCGTATGTTATTCTATCAGCGCATCTTTTTCTGCAAGATTCCAGCGGGCGCACAACACGAGCAGGAACAATTTTTCCAGCTGTTGAAGTATAACTTTCCCGTGGTTTCATAATTCTTTTCGCGACGTGTGTGAGCTTTTCTTTAGTACCACTTCATTTGCAACACTTCGAATTTTCCTAAATTTACATAAATTTTTATTATTACCAGCCAATAAATGAGTGTGTATGTAGTAAAACACTTACAACTTCGCTTTCTGCATCTGAGCTGGGCGCAGTAAAATTACTTATATTAAAACTAGGATCAACAACCGAATCATCACTAGAAAAATCAACATTACTCACATACTCACATACATACTAATATGGCAAATAGATTTTTACTTTCCATTGTTATAAGCAAATAGTCTTAACTTAACAACTCAACAGCCTTTCAGCAACTGAACAGCTTATGTAGAAAAATATACGAAATGAACACGCACAAAAACAAACTTATGTTAATTTAAAACACCGTTATCGTCAAACGAAAATTTAGCAGAGACTTAAGATGTTCTGCAAAACGACACATTTTACCTATTGGATAATATTAATTTTATCCTAAGCACTTATGCCCATTTAAGTGATGGAAATCTGGAAAGTTATTTTATGCATAAACGCCTAAGTAAACATATGATGTTTCATTATATTAAATCTGTTAAAAATTGTCTAGTATATATTGAATTTATGTTGACCTAAGTTTTTATGAAATAATCTTTAATATCAGATAAGACATTTCAAATAACTTAGCTTTACTTAAGATATTTTTGGTGAAGGAAATGTATTCAAAAAGTTTGGACGTTGAAAAGTTAACCGTGATAACTTCTTCGAAAAACGAAAAATTTGAAAACGAATTGGATCCAAATGTGGATTGTAAAAAGACGAACCATAATATGACATTAACTCCATTTTGACTTAACTGAACTTAAGATGTTATAATATATGGCCACAGATGTGTATTTGGTACTTACATTAACGGAAATTGCATTTTCCTGCATTGTTATGTCATTTAATTTAAGTTTTGGCGTTTCGCTCCATTCCACTGCAGGCGGTACAAGTGGATCTAGCCGCCCTGATGGACTAGTGCTCATATTGGCGATATTCAGACAATCACCTTGGACCTTCTGCACCGCTGAAAGTCGTCTTGAGAAAAAGACTTTTGCCTTTGTGCCACCACTTCCACTACTACTGCTTATCGCTTCGAGTAACTGTGTACGAGGAATGCGAGTTCGGTCATTGGAATTAAAGGGGGTGTAGGGTGATGTGCTATAACGTTGCTGGCCCCTATGCGCATTACTAGTGTCTATATCAGTTGTGCGATCTATGCTTTTATTCAGGGTGGCACTAATATTATTCGTATTCATTGCTTTCTCGGCTATTGGAACTGGTTCAGATTCCAAATCATTGTGAAAAATGTTTTGGCGTTCTCGCCAACTTGTACTCAACAAAGCAGTCGATGATGAAGTATTATTTAAAGTTTTGCGTTGTGCACGTGCAGTACGTGCAGTATGAATGGTGCGCAATAAATGCATTGAATCGATAACGCGTGATTTGTTCAAGGTATTATTCATTTCAACGGAAGTGTTTTTAGCTGCTTGTTTACGTGCGGAGCGCGGCAAAACTATGAATATAAAAATTTACTTCTACAGATTACTTACATTTTAACTAGAAATGCTAGATATACCTGAAACATTTCCGTAAAATGAGTCTGACATAAATTTCACTTGTACATCGGCGAAAAGTGGTAAGCGCATACTATCCATACGAGCACCATTTTGCGTTTCCAATTTTATTGGGGGTGTGCAAACATACTTCATCATTAAAGAAGTGCAATCGTCGGTCGACTCTCCTGGAGTCGGTTTTCGCGGATTACAATGTTTTTTCATCTGTGAATTTAAAAACAGTTGAAAACTTGTGATTTGTTTTTCTAATTGTTGGTATTCATATTTTAGTGTAGATAACTCTGATGTAACTAGTTCGCCACAACTTCTTGACTGCTCTACTTCATTGAAAGCATTTTCTAAGTCTGGTTGAATTATATTAAATGTAACGATGAGTTCATACAATTTGACATCGTCCATGGATTTTGCACTGGGATGCAGAAATGTTTCTAAATGGAATATATTCAATATAGTTTTTGTTTCGTACAAAGAATTATATTATATACGTATGTAAATACATTCAAATATAATTGATATTTACCTAAGTTTTCAGCATTAGTTGCATCACCAATTTTCTGTATTGCCTGTCGCACACGACTTTTATCGAATTTCATTTCCGCTTCTCTCAGTTGAAATTTCTCCATGAGCTGCTTCAAACCCACGAGTGGTTGTTCTAATTTGCGAACCATGTCAGAATCTTTGGCGAACGTATCTTGAAATAATTCCTTATTCGATTTCTCATACAACACTATAAATTGCTCATTGCATAATTGTGCTTTGCTTTTGCCTGTTTCTTGAGCCAACGTATCCAATATATTATTTAATTGCTGGGTTTTGTCACGTAATTGCACTATTAGCTCATCCACATTACTGATATAAGCTGAAGCATAATGTTTGAAGAATGCATTTTGTTTTCGCATGCGCTTTAAATTTAGGTCAGCGACATGTCCTGCTTCAACCTCTGCACCTAATAATTTCTCTCGATGGCCGATCTGCTCCTGGACCACAAATGTTACAAAATCCAATAAAAATATTATAAACTTTTTACCACCCGGCATGACAACTAAGTACGACTTGATGTCACCCCAATGCAGTTTATGTTTCTCATTCAAATATTTCAAGTATTCCACAGTGCTTGTTCGGAAACTTGCCTCGGAACGTTTATCTGTTATGGGCCAATAGAAGCGTTTTTTGAACTCGACCGCANCTTGCCTCGGAACGTTTATCTGTTATGGGCCAATAGAAGCGTTTTTTGAACTCGACCGCATCCAGCAAACAAAAAAGATAGTGCATAACGTGAAAAAACGCCTGAGGATTGGGTTTTATAAACATTTCTTCGCTCAAACATTTTCGTAGATCATCTGTAGGCGGTTGCAATAGGCCCAACCCGCGTAGCTTCTTGTACAATTTTTCACTGAGATCTCGTTCTTCCGCACGCTGTACGGCGATAATTGTACGATCCATTGCGATAAATAATTGCTCTACACATTGAATCTGCACATTATGCTCAAAGATATGAGAATACGTGACAATTTTCCCGATAAATTAAGTTCTTAGCGCGGATAATTTTTCTAATTGCACCCAGAAAAACTTCTGGCATTTTCAAATTGGAATTTTTACTAAAATTTGTTCACAATTTTTAACACTATTGTGAATGTGGCAATTTGTGAATGATCGGTTAGAGTGTTGAGAAATGCTTAAATTTATACAACGTATTGCTGATTACGTTTTCAAAATCGTAGTAATCAAGGCGAATTTATACAAGGTGGTCTTGAAGGTGATGTTACTTGCTGTATTTTTTTGTAAGCGAGCGACAAAAGAACGCTCAACTCGGGTAAAATTTCTGCCGGTAGCTGGCAAGAAACATGTGATTTCGCTGTGAAAACTTTTTTCAAACGTTTTTGTTGCTGTGAAAAAGAAAAGTTTAGCATTTTTCTCAAATCCATGATTTTGTGATAAAGAATATCATTGTCTTAAACTCACACTGACATTGAATTTTTCATTTTCACTGCACCATTTCATTGAACGCGAATTGGCTCCAATGTCTAGGATTCTAGACAGCTTATTTGAAAAACCGTTAATTTGTAAGAGGTTAATACTTAAAAAATTATCAATAACATAACATTCACAGCCACTGTTAATATTCGTGGGAGGATCTATTGATTTTAGATTGTTCCGCTTGCGTTACGTTACGTGCATTATAACCATTTGCATTCATTTCCCATACAATAGACAATTAAGTGACAGTTCACTCCGTTCCGTTACTTCCATTATAACCCAGGCATTAGACAGTAAATCAACTCGCTACTTTTCCGTGCGTTCATGCGTTGACATTTGAAATTAGATTGGTGGATATGCTTAAAAGCTGTTTTTTTTTTGTTTACAATGAAAGATGCGTAACAGCAAATTTTTTAACGCGTCAGCGCTAAAACGGATGCAATGCCGTAGCAAATAAAAGCAAAGAACGTAAATTTAACTTCTTTGATAAAAGTATGTATCTTCAGATTTAAGACAGACCTCCATAGCATGTGTATCTTTATGCGTGCGTTTGACATTTACGCTTAGAAGTCAAAAATCATTCAATTTTCTTACATTTTCTGCCATAAAAATTTATATATTAAATTTTTCTGTCAAACCCCATTTAGCCGCGTTAACTCATTTACGTCTTGGTTTTCCGTTGCGTCTTTTTAAAGTTTCGATCAGGATCAATTTGAAGGTTAAATTTTTTTGCATAAGATAAGCTCACAATAGAAAATTGTGCATCGTAAACTCCCTGCTTATTTTAAGTGTATATTTTGAAAGTTGATTCAATTTTTTATTTACAGAGCAAATACCTCAACTGTTAATTTAATAGGCGATAATTGATTTGTGGTCAGCATAATTATGGAAGAGATAACTTTTTTAATCAATGAAAAGATATCAATGATTGAAGAATTCATCGCTTTGAGTTTAAGGCGTGAGAAGGTACAATATGTAGCATCCACGCTCATTAAAGAGGCCAAGGAATTAAATTTGGTTATGGACAAGTTACAAAAGGCAGTGAAAGAAGATCTAGAGAAAGTAAACGAAAATCATGGACGTTTAATAAAACGTATGCAGCTGCAACAAGACGCTATTATTAAATATGTTCTAGCGGAGCGGCGACGTAAAATGCAAGAAGCTGAGTTACGAGATAAAGAAATGCTTGCAGCTGTCACTGCTTCCAATGTTCCACGAACGGTTGAAAAAATGTCTGCAAGCGTCTTGGAAAAATGTATGAGTGGACTCAAATTGCATTCTGTAAGTCTGGTTTCCTTTGTTATTGATTCGCCGATTTAAAACTATTTTAATTTCAGAACGTCTTCACGCCAATAACGTTAAAAAATTATAAAAATTCGCCAATGGTAAAACATAGACCCATCAACCCAATTCCGTTTAAGTTTCTTGATTTTGAGTACCGTATAACAGTGGAGCAATTCGAGTCCATTCCAAAGTAAGAAAGTGTATAAACTAACATGAATTAAAACTTTCCAGATTTTCAGTAACACAAACATGGCGACATTACAAGTAGATTAGTGGCATCGCAAATTTGTAAAATGTTACACATCTTCACTCGTATTGAGTACTAGTACAAAAATTACTCCAAATCAAACCATTACAAATTAATAGTACATATGTGTATGTTACTTTGTTACTTTGACCTAAAAACAAACATTCATATTTCTGCAAAGTTTGATAGGAAAGCAATTGGGTTGTTCACACTGGCCTGATTATCATGTTATCTGATGTGGTTTTCTTTTATTCATGCTACAACAATAACATACACTACAGAATAATAATTTTCAACCAGATAACCTGATAACCAGGCAAGTGTGAACAATCCAAATGACTGCAAAAATCGAAATCCGTTTCTTGGTGTACAATCATAAAAACTCACCGAAAACTTTAATCCTGCTGAAGTGACAGTTCTAGAGATGAAACGTACTCCCAATTGACATTCCCTGCTGGTCTGCATACCCGGGACGACTTTGTTTATTTTTATTGTTACCACGACAGTCGGAGTATACTTCACGGGAATGACTCAGAATCAGAATTTAACAGCGACTGTCACTCCAGCAATAACTCTTTGAGGAATTTGTATGCTCTTACATATATCCGGCCGAGGACTGTCCCCTCTGCGGCATTCCCCAAAACTCCTTGGCGACTTTCTTTGCCATTATATTGTTGTTGTAATAGCATAAAAAATCCCAATGAGTTTTGTGAAATACTGCTGAATAAATCTGGCTTATTCCTGTTACCTAGACGCAAATGTCATGGAGTTTCTTTTCGCTTATAGCGAAAGCAAAGGGCTCATACATAGATATAAAATATTAGTAAGTCTCTGAAGCAATAAATAAAAATAACTTTTCAGATATATGCGAGGTCGGGAATNGTGCAAAAATCGAAATCCGTTTGTTGGTGTACAATCATAAAAACTCACCGAAAACTTTAATCCTGCTGATGTGACAGTTCTAGAGATGAAACGTACTCCCAATTGACATTCCCTGCTGGTCTGCATACCCGGGACGACTCTGTTTATTTTTATTGTTACCGGTCGGGGTATACATCACGGGAATGAGTCAGAATCAGATTTTAACAGCGACTGTCACTCCAGCAATAACTGTATGCTCTTACATATATCCAGCCGAGGACTGTCCCCTCTGCGGCATTCCCCAAAACTCCTTGGCGACTTTCTTTGCCATTATATTGTTGTTGTAATAGCATTAAAAATCCCAATGAGTTTTGTGAAATACTGCTGAATAAATTGGTTTATTCCTGTTACCTAGACGCAAATGTCATGGAGTTTCTTTTTCGCTTATAGCGAAAGCAAAGGGCTCATACATAGATATAAAATATTAGTAAGTCCCTGAAGCAATAAATAAAAATAACTTTTCAGATATATGCGAGGTCGGGAATGTATTGACGAACTTCGCAATTTTCTGGATACTGTGGTGGTACCATGTTTCAATAAAAAGTACCAATTAATACATCGCCAGCGAAGTACCGTACGCAATACCCATGATTTGGAACTGTGGAAAGTGTACAATCAACAAGCTTCTTATGTGCCAGGTACTATACATACATCGACCAATTGCACAACCGCCTATCTTACGGCACTCAAATTTTACAGGAGAGCGAAAAAACTAATTTTCTTGAAAGGCATTGACTTGAAAGACGGTATTTTCTCTAACTTTTGTTTTACAAATCTGTTGTTTAAAACGTAACGAGTTTACGATTTTTGTACATAAATTTCGATGCCTGGGATTCCCATTTTAGCCTGAATTCCCAGTTTTGCCACAACCGAGATTTAGGCGGTTTTGCAACTGGTCGATGGGCGGTTCTGCAAAAGCATCGTCGATATATTTACATACGTATATAAATAAAATAAACCATGTGAAAATAAACTTTTTTTTCTTCCTACAGGGCGGAATTTCATTACGGCCGGTGATATTTCACAACAAATGCACAAAATGTTGGATAAAAAACAACAAAACCGCATAGTAATGCTGAGGCATTTAGGTGTTCTGCAAGAACAGAGAGTTGGCCAAACTGTGTGCTATATATGGAATGCAGATGCGCATTAGCTATAATGGTTAAGATGTANGGCGAAAAAACTAATTTTCTTGAAAGGCATTGACTTGATAGGCGGTATTTTCTCTAACTTTTGTTTTACAAATCTGTTGTGTAAAACGTAACGAGCTTACGGTTTTTGTACATAAATTTCGATGCCTGGAATTCCCATTTTAGCCTGAATTCCCATTTTTGCCACAACCGAGATTTAGGCGGTTTTGCAACTGGTCGATGGGCGGTTCTGCAAAAGCATCGTCGATATATTTACATACTTATATAATTAAAATAAACCTTGTGAAAATAAACTTTTTTTCTTCCTACAGGGCGGAATTTCATTACGGCCGGTGATATTTCACAACAAATGCACAAAATGTTGGATAAAAAACAACAAAACCGCATAGTAATGCTGAGGCATTTAGGTGTGCTGCAAGAACAGAGAGTTGGCCAAACTGTGTGCTATATATGGAATGCAGATGCGCATTAGCTATAATGCTTAAGATGTAAAAAATAAATAATTTTAAATTGTTAAATTTGCGATTGTATTTATAACTACCAATAGATATGTGGGCAAATTATCCCTCATTTACTTACCCTGCAGTTGCATCTTTTTCATTGTATGTAACAAATATAAACACAAGCTCCATGCTTAAATAAGTTTTAAATTAAATAAATAAATATTGTATTTTACAACACTACAAAAATGTATTATTTTTAAAAACTATTAATTTTTGTTGCATTTCCATAGGTCAAATCACTCCTCATTTGTAGCTGTGTCTTTTTGGTTCTCATTATTGGATACTTCAACGGACGAAGATACCTCGAACATATCATCCTCCGTTGTTGTATTGTTATCGTGTTCTGCGCTTGCATCCTCTACGGTGCCCTTTTTCACCATATCAGAGCGTTTTTGCAGGCGCTATACATAAGTAAAGGATAAATATAAAATCAAAACATTAATGTTCTTGTAAATATGTATCGGGTACTTAAAAAATTACAATTTTTAATTATGTAAATATGTAATATTTTTCTTTAGTATAACAAGGTCGACACAACTTACCGCTTCTCCAGCACTCTCATCGTCGGGCACGAATATCCGGAGTGGTGCGTCAGCGCCTAGCTGCTGCTGCACTAAACGTTGGTGCTCGTGAAATGCCGCCGAGGCTGGGTCTTGCGACTGTTGTTGATGGCGAGTATGTTGTTGATGTTGTAATTCTTGCTGTTGCAATTGCTGCTGATGTAGCTGCTGCTCCTGTACTTGATGTAGCTGCTGTTCCTGTAGTTGTTGATGCAGTTGCTGCTGTTCTTGCAACTGTAGGTGCAGTTGCTGCTGTTGCTGCAACTCTTGCTGCTGACAGTTCTTGTTGTTGCTGCTGTTGTTGCAACGCTAACAAGTGCTGTTGCTGCTGTTGGAAAACATACTGCTGCTTTTCTTGCTCAGCCTCTATTTCCAGTCGCTGCGCTTCCTCTTCGGCGTACGCCTGCAGCAGCTGTGAATTGTCTTGGCCATCGTTGTCATAATAATTGGACACAACAAAACCCCCCTCAGGTGCTGCAGATGTGGCAGTAAGGGCAGCGGCGTGTGGATGCAAGCTGTAATGTGCTGCTGATTGCTCACCCAAGGCAGGCGCAGCGATGAGCGCTGCGAATTGTGGAGCACTATCCAGCACTGGATGAATATTATGATGTGGATCTTTGGCAGCCTGCAAGATTTGACCATCACTGGCAATTTCTTGCGTCAGGTCGGCATTAACATAACCGGCTTGTAACAGACTGGCGCTGGGCTGGAAGAGCTGTTGCTGCTGTTGATGCTGTGTGTACAGTTGATTGGATTGTGTGACTAGATAGGTGGGGTCGTAGATGGGCGCAGATGCTGCATGTACGGCGGCAACATTGGCACTAACAAGCGGTTGAAGTTGCGCTTGTTGTGTAAATTGAATTGGATAAATCTCTGGTGTGGCCACCTCTTGGGCACCGATTATCTGCACTAGGGGTTGAGCAGGTACAATGAAATTGGATTGTACATCCACAGGCAGTGGTTTGCCATTGCTGGGCTGATTGAAGGGCTCCGTGGCCGGACGCAATTGTGCGGCTGGTAGGGATGGATCTGGATCGGGAGCGAAGAGTTTCTGCGAGCCAGAAAGTGGGTCACGAATAGTTTGATCATTGGTGTGCTCTTCTGTGACTTGATACTGATTCTCGATGTTGGGGTTAGTTAGAGTTTGGTGGTAGGTTTGTGGCTGTGATTTTGGTGGCAAATAGGATTCCTGTAGATGATTTTCAGGCAAGGAAAGATTAGGTGCAGGTATTGTGTGAATGGGTGCAAAGTGATCGTTGTCATGGTCATGCTCGGTGATGAAGTTGCTGTGTGTCTCCGACTGTAAGTTAAGTGATAGTTTAATGTTGTTGGTCGAATGTTGTTGTGCATGGAAGTGTGTTTATCAGAGCTGGGAGTTATATACGAATAATCCGGATATTCGAATATGTGATTAAAAAAAACCAAATATTCAGATATTAACCGGATATGGGATATTACCCGGATATCCGGATATACGAATACACGGATAGTCCCAGCTTTATTTTCTATATCTGTGAATTTTCGTCGAAACAACTAATGTGATTTTGAAGTTTTAAATTGTAGATGGAAAATATTTTCTTATGTATGAAAAAAAATAACAGCGATAATATCCCGGCCAGCATTTTCTATTGCGGAAGTTACTAATTCGACACGATATTTCTATGGAAATCAGCGCCGATGATATTGCTACTTTTTCGAATTCTTAACCGCTCTCGGGGGAGAACTGTTCCACCAAGACGTCACGTCTTTATGAAACGAAAGCGATACAGCAATTAGGAACTATTTCGATAAGAATAATAGTAACTTGTGCGATAAAGTTTGAAGTGTTAAAGAAGATTCTTGGGTTGGATAAATTTTTGATAAAACGCATTGTGAAATTTGGGATACTTTTGTGCTTGCAACCACAGCCGCAGAGTTAAGCCATTTTCATTCTACTTTCTGATCAGATTACTAGCTCAAACGTACCCATCCCAGTAGATAATTTCAGGAGTTAAAAGCACTTTCGAAAGGCCTTCCACTATAAATTCCTTTCTCCTTTCTGTTTTGTATGGAGTGGCACAAATTGAAGGGCTTCCTCTTTCGCTACCCACAGAAGGCCTTCCAGAAGGGCTTTTATAGGACATACTTCAGAAGGCCTTTTGGAGGAGTTCTTTAAAGTTGCTTCTTTAATTTATAAAAATCATACGTCTTTAAAGTATTTACTTAAGGTTTATATCAAATATGTGTTATTGTAACTTAAAATTTTTATTGGAATTCATTTGTAATGTTAGATAATATAAATGTATGTATTCGCGTAAATTGCAAATGGATAAGCCCTTCTAAAAGGCATGCAAGGCAGAACTTCTTGGGAAGGCCTCTTAGGATTGCTTGCACGTTATTTGAAAAATCAAAAAGAATTGAGAAAATAAAAATATGTACGTTTCAAAACTTTAAAGGGCAAAAATCGTCAAGGCATCTTTAAGAAGATAGAAAAGCGACAGAAATGTTTTTTGATTTTGTGAGTAACTATCGCTTTGCTAACTTCCAATAGTGACGAAGAAGTGACATCGTGGCGATAGGCGATAAAATTCTCTTCCGTTTGCTGGTAGGGATATTAAATATTGTATAGAAACACTAATTTTAAAGGGATAAATACTGAAATCGTGCTAAGTAGTTTTGACAAATATTCACAGATTTGGTTTTTAACAATAACCATTTTTTTCTAAACACTTACTGGCAATTGTTGCGCTTCATTGCCCAATGGCGGATAGGCAATATTATTTGTGACTGGTACTTCAAAGCGGAATGGCACTTCGTAGCTGGTAGCTGGCTTATGTTTCGGCTTTGTATTAGCCAATTTAATTTTAAGCGGTTTACGTTGCAATGGTTTGTGTCCAATTGGGGCACTTTTCAAATATACCGGACCAGTAAGTTTAATTGGCCGCACGCCACGTAAATGATTGGGACCGTATCGTAGTTGCGAGTTACGTCCACCTTTTAGTACAAGTGGCACTGGCTGATCGCTGCGTATCTGTACCATCAATGTGCGTTGCTTACCACCGACAAGGGCGGCTTTATTGCGGCCGAGCGCTATTTGTTTAGCACTCTTTCCGGCCCACAGGGGATAGATTAGGGGGCGTTTGACGAGTGGCAGGTCACACGTGGCTAGCACCAGAATGGTAACGAACAGGAAATTTGAGAAAATAACCTATAAGTAAAGTTAAGAAAATTGTTGAATATTTTCGTTTCGACTAAGAAATGTTCAAATAAAAAAATAAAAAATTAATTGATGTACATTAAGGTTATCCATGACATACATTTGTAAGTGTGAAGTTTAGTTTTTGTTTATAATTTGATATATTAAAAAAGTCACACGATTCTGTTAATTTAGATAACTGCTTATATGATTAATATGTATTTTATTATAGGAATTTGAAAAAAAAACACCCATCCATATTACCCCATAACAGGGAATCCATTAATACATAACTACAATCTAGCCTAAAATTGAGCATAATAACTGTATAAAGTACACAAACACTTCCGACAGTCATTGCACTTTACGAATGACCTTCTCGTAGCGGGGCCAATTGTTACAAATTGTTCGTTGACCATTGGCTAGATCTTGGCGCATGCGTGGAATGAAAGTGAAATGCGCGGATTAGCAGATGTGTGCAGCGCAAATCGTTCAAACTTCAACGGTTTTTGTACGTGAGCAATTAAGTGTAGAAATGTATGCATATACATACATACATACATATGTACATAAATATATATGTATTAATATGTACATACATATCTATATACAATATAAGTATTTAATCGTACGCG